CTTTACCACCTCCTCGTCCTTCAAGCTCCTCCCCTCCCCTCGCCTCCGCCTCCTCGTCTCTCCTCCCCCCCTCCTCCACCTTCGTACTGCTTTCCTCCTTGCCGCTCAAGCCGGACAATGAGGGGAGGAGGAGGAGGAGGAGGGGGAGGAGGAAGAGGGAGAGGAGGAGGGGAGGAGGAGAAGGGGGAGGAGGAGGAGGGGAGGAGGAGGGGGAGAAGGAGAGGGAGGAGGAGGAGAGGGAGGGGCGCGGTTACGCCGACGCCGACGCCGACGGCGACGCCGACGCCAACGGCGACGCCGACGCCAACGGCGACGCCGACGCCAACGGCGACGCCGCTCAGGCTGGAAACGGGCCCCTAAGAGCTGCGCTCTAAAATATAAAAGGTAACTTCGAAAGTAACTTCAAAGTAACTCGCTACTTTTTAGAATAGTTAGTAGTTTACTCAATTACTTTTACAAACGCGTAATTTCTACTCTACTCCAATTACTTTTGGCGTCGATACTCAGTAACTTAACTTAACTACCTTTTTTGAGTAATTTGTACATGTCTGAATAAAAGAAACAACAAATTTACAAGTCGCGCTATTACTAAAGCAAGAGTGGACGTTTTAGCGCCACAATCGACCACATGTCTGGTTGGTTGTTGCCCAATTCTGAAGAATTTTTATCTGCAACCTCTCATGCTGCACCTTACTAATCGTCTTGTGAACGGTTGATCATGTTCTGGGAAGAGAATGCGCAAATGTTTCATTATATTAAAGGCGTACTCCGGCGATTTTTTCATGGTCGCTGGTTTGCCTCAAAATTGGCTCAACACACCGATAGACATGGCTCTAGGAGTTCCCCAAGTATTTTCTGAAAAGAAAAAACAATATTCGCGAAGTTATTGAGTTTTCGAATTTCGTTTTCATCGTGTTTTTCAAACCGGGAGTCCCTACTGGCAACATTGAAGTGTGACGACAGAAATGGTGCAAAGTGGGCAGTAAGCCATGTTCTCACCTGATTACAAGAAGTTTGATTGTGGAAAGAGAATGTTTGGTAACTGATTCACTGAGAAGCACGCAAAAAACACTCGACATACTTTGTTTAACTTTGTTTAAGACTACATACACGACCTGAAAGTCTGTATCATGCGTGACGTCGCACCACTGAAGAGCGCGTGAAAATTTCAATGCTGGTTTCGGCATCATCTTCATTTACGGTTTTCTCAACTGCTATTTTGAATTTAGAGAAACTAAATAGTATACCATGACGACTGAAGTCCGGGTAGTCAGGAAATTCAATTTGTTTAGGTAGCTCAAAAAAGCCGGAGTACACCTTTAAGAAGACCAACCTCACAAGGAAAGCACCATAATTGTTTCGGGAAAACAATTCCTGCCTCCTTTTGAGGTTTTTCTTTCATTATAGTCGTAGCGTTGGAGTGATTCTCATCTAGGTATTGCACGCTTCAATCAACTTCAAAATTTTTAATTCGCTGAGGCGCGTCCATGACTAGCATGGTGATATTTCTTATTAGAGGATTCCCCCCCCCCCCCCCCCCCCCCAATTGTGTCCTTTTAATCGACGTTGAAGTTTGTATGCACTCGGAAAAATATCTGAAACCAAAATCTTAATTCAGTCTTTTCATTGCCCTTACGATTGCAGAGTGACGAATTGCATTACGAAGCAAGCTACACAAAAACAAAAGAATTGCATTGCTATATCGCAGGAAAGAAAATAATTGAATTACTGTAATTTGCTACAGTAGTTCCATTGCTGCGACCTCAGTTGCAGAAACGCTGACTCGCCTTCTACAAGCAGTTCCGCTGCCTCTACTAAGGCTCGCGCTCGTTAGCGGGGGCCGTCGGCAGAACATTTGTGCCCGGATTGTGATTATCAAAGTCTATTTCACGATACATATCACATTAGATGCGTGATAAGCAACTTGAACTGCCAATACACGGCGTTGGCCGTCATATCATTTGAAGGCGTGCAGCCTCCGCTGACGTTAACCCATCGAACCATCGGACGCACATAGCAAAGATAATTCATCGTCATAGAACGCGCAATGTGCGCATATTGAGCGATAAAGCAGATTAGCACTTGAACTTGGTGGAATCCTATATTATCTTGTTTGGTCAATTTCAGCTTTGCGACTATCTATGCCAAAGGCTGGAAGAAAAACAAAAAAGAGGAAAAAGAACAACGATTGCATCAAACTAAAAGGGCATAGGATGAAACGACACCAGAATCGCCGCGGTCACTGTATGGTATTCTTTTATTTGTACTTATGGCTATGTCCCCCCTATAACACAGGACTTCAAACGTATTTCTGACATTGTGTTTTCGCCTCTCGTAACTAGAAAGAAGGAAGTGGCAGGAGCCGCCGACATTACATTATCAACATTCGAGTGAAATTCTATTGACGACTTGCCTGTGGGGCCCAATATTAATAAATGACATGTGTTGATGGCACCGTCAAGGCTTTCCGTGGCGCTTGAGTAGTCAAGTTTTTTGTGTTTTTTTTTGTAATAATTAAAAAAAATTAGAGGACGACTTCTAAACTTCGTCTTTAGGAGTAAAACGCGAATGCTAAACATATAAACCCCCGCTCGTTCCCAAGCCGTACAAGCGTGTCTGAGTGGCCTAGTCGGTAGCGTGTAGGACTCGCAACTGAATGATCGTGGATTCAAATACCGCCTAAAATTCTTTGAATTGTTTCGTGAAGGCAAATGAATTACTTTATCAGGGGAAACCATTTGAGACATGTGGCGACTTTTATTTCGCTGTACATGTCACAATTTATCACTTTCATTCCACGCGTGACGTCACATTTCACGTGAGCATTGTGGGTTGTCTGAAATTCCCGCCAGAGGTCATTTCGTTGTGACGTCAGGACCCTAGCGACCAATCAGTAATTCCCTTTCCACGCCACTGAGGCTACGCCGCTTTGTTTGAGGACACGAGAAATCTAAAGTCTCTTTAAAAAAGCTATTTGTTGCAATCGCGTTGAGCCCGTGTTCTTCGGGCTTGTCCGAGTGCACTGATTACCGTTAAAGTAGACTCAGTGTGGTTGCTGACCTCTGAATATTTGGTACATTTTGTACTCCCGTGCGTGGGGATAAACTTTGTCAATGCCTCGCCCACATTACGGGGACAATTGGGAGCGACCCAGCTCTAGGTACAGCTGAGTAATGCTGATTCACGGGCGATTTGGTACCGTAACTTTGAGAACATAATAGCGTTTCAAGACAGGGACGAGAGTAGGAACGAGACAACACATTGCGCTAACTTCAACTGGTTTAATCGTCAGAAAATCAAGGGTATAAATACTTTGCATCATTGTACCATTCAACCGATCTTACGCCACGCCAATGTTCGCAAGAACTGTGTCTCTTTGTCGCCCAAATTGATCGACGCCATGGTGAAACATCGATCCTCGTAGTTTTTTATCAGGTCTGCCTCTATAATTTCCCTATCATGTTCTCAAAGTCTAGGTCGTGGTTTGGACCGCGGGACGCAGGGGCATAAGGTTTATCACAAGCAGGAATCTTGAAATTTGTGCTTGTCCCCGCTATCTCCGAATACTTGAGTTAAGATGTTTTACGTTTTACACTGCTTTGTCATAATTTCAAGCGCATTTAAGTGCACAGTTATCTCTCTTAAATAAATCTAGATAGGAGGCATGTACAAGGAACTAAAGAAAAGATTCCAAGGGATTAAGCAAGCGAGTCACGTTGTGTTCGTTCTTGGGGTTTATCGGGTTCGAAAGAACTACTCCACGATATGGCGTTAAATGGACATGATTAACGATAATTTAGAATTACCTTGCGCACATCTTTTTTTTATATCTGGGCGTTTCCTTCGTGAATGTCACAGTCGCGAGCTGGCATGAGAACCAAGTTTGATACTTGTGTTGTGCACGTTCCTCTCCTGAAATAACTCCATGTTGTTACTTGTTAATTAATCAAAAAGTTACGAAAATAAGCTATTCGTTCCTTTTCGTGTGTACGTGGGGCACCACTACCAGTCTCACTCTTGGTTTGCACTTCTCTGGGACAACAGCAGTCTCCCGAAGACCTTGCATCAGTGATTCACCCACTCCTGTAAAGAGTGCAAATGGCTAGACCCTTTCTTCAGCGTCTTCTCCTGGAATGGGAAACACTCCATCATCCTGTGTGGAACAGACTTCGCCAAGGACTCTCTGAGACAGGTAAAGATAGTGGTGCCCTACGTACACAAGGTCAGCCATAGGAGTACGAAGGTGTCGGAAAGACACCAACTCCTGGTTATTTTCTCCGCTCCCATGAAACTGAAGATGTTGTGTGGTAGAACTGGTAGAAGAGCAGCACACGCCACGTGATGCGAAAAGAAGCATAAAAAGTATTTCGTAGCGTGCGAGTTGGGAATAGTGTATAGAATACGGCTATCGTGTGGCAAACAGGTATATTGGACAGTCTGGTCGATGCGTCAATGATAGACTAAGGGAGCGTGCATTATCTGTGAGATCGTCCCCTGCCGGTCATTTGGCGATTAATTGCGACAGGAGAGGGTGCACCCCTATGTTTCAAGAGACAGCACTTAATAATAATGCGACACAACGACAAAAGGACGAGGAAGATAACGGAAGCATTTTACATATTACGATGTAAGGAGGCCACGTGTGTCAGTGCTCCCTTTGTGACCCTTCATCCAAAAGAGATACAATATATCGGCTAATGGGAACGTGGTGTTTTTTTTTTTTTCGCGGCCTTCATGTTATTTCTTATTAAATTTCAGTTGCAAGTCAGCGCCTTCTCTGTGTACACACTCTTCTTCCGATCCGTCGTCTGTTTGAGGTGTATTCGTGTTCCGATGCGTCACCAACTGGCCCAAATTTCTACGCTGCTATATTTCCGAAACGACGCTTAGCAATAACCGAGGTCAAAATGCGTTCCACGTTTTAAGTTTATCTGTCAGTGGCGCCAATATACTTATCTTCTGCATTGGCGAGCAATCCCCGGTATAAAAGGGACTATCCTATCTGCAGGGTTTAGACGCGAATCTCATGCTCCAAGGTATCAGATATGACTCCCTACATCTTGCTTCTTCTGGCAACATGCTGCTACTCCCGTTTAGTAAGTTTGCCCTCTCTATATCTTGTCTTCTCACACTTCTCTATATATTGTCTTCTCGCACTATGTCTCCTAAAAAAACCCAGAAATATTTTCTTGTTAAAGCTTATAATCGTACGCTACGCGTTCTCGCAAAAAGATGCAGTTACGTTTCAACGGCGGTAACGGACTATTTTGTCGCTAGCCTCAAAGAACAAATGCAACACAAGAAAAGACAGACCGCAACATAGATCAGTCTGATTGCGCATGATGTTAGAAGTTCCAAAGCGAACGTCGATGGGCGCCATGCGCGATGCTACGATTCAAGCTTAAAGTGATATATAGAAATACATCAACATTATACAAATAAATGCATCTGGAAATGCAAACTCCAAAGACATAATTTTATGCAGAGCGAATATGTTTACGAATAGAATTAGCAGATGAATGCAAGATAAAAGATAAATGTTTATTGAGGTGAAGGGGCGCCTCGAACTAGAACAAAGAACAACAGTACATTCTACGTCGGCGATAAAAGGGCGACTGGTTTGTACTTGCTGTACTATCGCAAACAATATGAGCGTGAACACGCCTCCGCGTGTCGCCGCTAACCTGAGGCGCCGTCCTGCGGTGCCGTTGTGAAGTTTTGCGCATGCGTGTAGAAATCCTGTCGCTCTTCTCGCTTTTGACTGTTAACCCCCGTTTGTCGTCTGCTATGCGCGCGCTGGCGGCCGCTCGCGCTGTCGTCTGCTATGCGACTCGTGTATTTCCGTCACAACTTAGAGAAACAACTTAACATGATTCACGAGTTTCCTGTGCGATAACGCAATGCCCACATTTGATACGTGATAAGTAGCTGGCTTCTTTCATTGGGTCGAGATACAGCGACAACAGACAAATGGAAGAAAAACATAATATCTGCAAAGCTTAGCATTCAACTACGCTGAGCCCGGAAAACATTCCGTTGAGTGAAAAATGGCTAGAGTTCCCGACGACGAACAGATCAACATAGTTGAGCTGTCCCTCCGAGGCTACTCTCAGAGGGCTATATCTAGCATGGCTGGAAGACCGCTGAAAACGGTGAACCGGATAATACAAGCATATAGGGACGAGCTGTCCAGAGCAAACACAACTCGCGTAGAAAGCGCGTGTGTCCGCCGGAGCACGCAATGTTGTGCGGCAGACGACAACACGTGCGGACGCCAGCGCGAATACGAGTCGCCTAGGAGACGACAGCGTGAGCGGCCACCAGCGCACACAGGAGTCGCATAGCAGACGACAGCACGAGCGGACGCCAGCGCGAACACGAGTCGCATAGGAGACGACAGCACGAGCGGCCGCCAGCGCGCGCATAGCAGACGACAGGTGGGGGTTGACAGTCAAAGCGAGAACAGCGACAGACTTTCTGCACGCATGCGCATAACTTCACAACGGCGCCACAGGGCGGCGCCTCAGGTAGCGGCGACACGCGGAGGCGCGTTCACGCTCATATTGTTTGCGATAGTACGTTCAGGGAAGTTCTGAACTGGAAAGCACGGTGTCAACCGAGAAGGATCTGGAACTTTACTGAGGAGAAAAGATCGGGGGGGGTGGGGGGGGGGGGGGGGATGATGAGCCATTGAACTCTCTGAAGGTGGATGAGCAGCGATGCTGTTTAGCACACGACACAGACCCGCACCGAGGAGCCGGAGGAGACTAGACACGCGCGACTGGACCGTTACCATGGGAAAGCGGAAGGAGAGGAAACTAGCGACTCAAGCGCTTGGAATGACGATAAAGAGAGGGCGGTGCGAGCGTAGACATAGCGGACACGGGTCGCGCTGCGCAAAATCTTTGAAAAAACTCGATTATCTGCGTAAGAGTCTACTGAACATGAAAATAGTGCCGATTGATAGATCCAGTGAAAACACCAACTTCTAAAATAAATTAGAATGCAGGGAATGGTGTTATACGCACCGAAGTTGCCGGCGTCTGCACGAGTAACTGTTCTAAAGCGAAAGCACAAAATAAATGACAGCTTGCACGCGCGTTTGTCAAAGCTTTATTTTGGTTATTTACTTCAAATATTTTTTACAGGGACCGCGTGCGCGTGCGGCGGTACGAGCGTAGAAATTTTGGATACGAACACCAAAAAACAACGAAACCCAAACCATAAACAGCTTCGCTGTGAAGAAAAAATACCAACAAAACCGGGTTTGAACTTTATTCTACGGTGTGTGGCAGCCGTGTGGGTTGCCGACTGCGCCAAGCAACGCGGCAGTATTGATTATCAAGTTTCGTGCTTTTGTCACCTGTTTTTAGCTACCTGATAACGATTCAGTATATGACTTGCACGTGACGCCGGTCTTCCCTTCTTTCTGGTGGTCAGAAGCACCTCGATAACGCAGCGAAAGGTGCCCTTTCATGCGCCCTTTTCCCCCAGTGGCAAGACGCGTATCGCTATACTTCGTTTCAGCTTCGGTCCGAGCGCGGCCGATGTTATCAGCCCAAGGGCCAATCAAACACCGCAAAAAGCGCAGCGTCATGGCGTGCTCTGTGCGCTTGATAAGACTAGCCGGCGGAGGAGCACGCACAGAGAGACGGCGAATACCGGCTGGTCCTATCAACTGCAGAAAGCACGCCATGACGTTGTGCCTCTTTCGCTGTTTGATTGGCCCTTCGGTTCATAACATTGGCCGCGCTCGGACCGAAGCTGAAACGAAGTATAGTGCAGCAGAAGCTACCCTGTCACGCGCCGTTTATCCCAATATATCTGATCAAGTGACGTCAGTGCAAGCTTGTATAGACGTTTTGCCTTCGGAGACAATGTGCTACGTGGAGATTTGTAGAGCTTCCCTGGAATTGCTGACCACATCTCGTGTAACAGATTACGTTCATCTTTTTTGCTCAACGCAGCAAAGTGGGCAACTTTAAATGTGGAGTAAGGGTAATAAAGTCTTATCAAAATAGAGTTCTTATTTGCAAAAAAACGCATATTATTTGTTGTTCCATATGGTGCGTCTAATTCTGTTGTTTCCTTTCGCCCCCACAGGTGCTTCAGGGCGCTGGTAAGCATAAGAATCCCATATCTAGTCACCTTGTTCGCTAAAGAGTCAGAAGTGCAATGTCGGTTTTCTTAAAGAAAAATCACGTTAGCGTACTTCTCTTCAAAACTACAGCGACGAAAAATTAGAAAATGAGGAGCAACCTAAGGAAGGTGGTGAATGCTTTGGGCCATCTATGCTCCCATGGAAAGGGCATAGAAACACTTGAAGGAACAGCGAATCCCCCAAAATTTTAACTTCCGAGATAGCACAAGTCCTATACTATCACATTTTTTTTATTCCAAAGTTTTATATTTGTCTTCAAATTTAGAGTTTTAAAAATCCCGAAAGTGTCAAGGTAGAAAAAAACTTCTTTGACCAGAGTCTTGGTATATTGGCCTCAATGTGCCAGACAGTCGCCAAAGTTGGGCTTCACCGCTGTTTCTTCGGTTGACGTTTTTGGCTCAAGTCTGCCACCTTGCAAAGTATATGATGGGCCAGAGAAAATCCAGAGAAACGCCGAAGGAAATTATTCTGCCACTAATTAACGCCTTACTGCAAAATCGTGTTACTCTAAGTTACATCCAATGGAGGGCTACGCTTGAGCCAAGTTAGCCGTTTCTCTGGCGTGATGGCTTGGACATGTAATAAAAAAACATGTCTAAAGGAAAGATAAAAAAAATAAACCCATTTTTTTACTTCGCGAGCTACATTTTGAATAAGAACCGATTCCGAAACAAGTTTCTATTTTGAGACCCTGGGCCTCGAGAAAGAAGCACGTTTCCGAATCGCTCTTGAAGCAGAGGACTGCCCCCTCTCCCAGAAAGAAAAATAACTACTTGGATGGGACACGTCTGTCACGCAATAAAGAATTGCCCTAAAAATAATTGCAAAACAATGTTTACATTTTTTTTATTCTTTCCTTAACAGTGTATGAATACATAACGCCAAATTGTGTTGTTTCAGGGGTTGTACTTTTTGTGGCATAACAGTTTTATTCGGCATACGTTTATATGTGGACACGAGCAAAACAAACTTTTAATTTATTGGCATTATTAAAATAAATTTATTTTTGGAGTTCAGTAGCCGAGGGATGAAGGAAGAGAAGGTAAATGGGACGAACGCCAACTTGGGAATGCGAAATGCACGATGTGTTCGTAGCTTGGGGAGAAACCTTCTAAATTAGGCATTTGGGTCAACGGCTGCATGCTTTAATCCAAAGCGCTTAGGCGGAAAAGAGCGGGTTGGTGAAAATACAAAAAATCAATGAAAGAATAAAAACACGTGTGGTCAAGACGATGCAAACCAGTTCTTTCAAAAGCCAGTTCTTTCAGAAGAAACAGCACAAATATTTGAAAGAACTGAGCTCTCTTGCTCTCGGTCCTTGCCCCTAAGTGTTTTTTATTCTGTCATTGATTCTCGTATAGGAGCGGAGCGGAAGCGCCCAATGCAGATGCACAGATCGGCTTCAATCACGACTGCGCTTGTAACAACATTAATCATTGCAATGACCACTGAATGGTGCTCCTGAAAGTCGTCGCGTGAGCAGAACTACTGCGCTTGCCAAAGTTATTTTTGTGGCGGTGACACGAAGCGCCATGTTTTTTTTAATTTCCTCGTGTCTCAATACTTTTACGTTCGATATTCAGCGCAAGAGAGCTACAGCGCATGCGCAGAACGCGTTCCAGGGCTCAGTAGACGAATATTTCAAAGCGCCGAAGGCGATTGTGCAAAGGGTCTACTGAACTAGTCGACATTATCTAGCGGAGCGGTCCTTGTAGTTCAGTGAACCGACTGACCCGAAGAGGAAACGTTAGGCAACTTACATACAAGCTATGGACCGACAACGTTGTCTGATAAACATGACAATGGTTACGCTAGAAGAATTGCAAGCAGGCCGATAGTCGGAACACCACCTGCATCGGAGTGCGTATCGAGGAAGGCGTGCCTCCGGGTTATCGGTACCCCCGTACATTACAAATTACAGAAATTAAGTATACAAATTTTCTAGTTCTATTAGAGTAAAAGTATATTTTAAGTATAGATTAAGTATCTGAAGTATAAGCTTAACATAGCATTAGACTATTTTGTATTTTAACGCAAGGGTCCGCGCGTCCGTGTCTTCTCGCTTGTGATTGTCCCTTGTGTCGCGCAAAAAACCTCTAAACAAAGAAGTATTGTACAATCTAGTGTTTAATTAACTAATTGTTTTTGTTTTCGCGCACGGAAACAGCTGATACCTTGCTAACAATGCAGAAGAGAACGTTATCCTCATACACTCTTAGTAATTTAACTAAATCTATATACGTTTAGTGCATTACTTTTTACTAAAGGGAGGCTTGGCCCGCACACGATGAAGGTAGAATAAATCAGTCACCCTTTGTGCGTCGTATATGAATATTCCTTTGTGAAGGAACTTAGCCTGCTTTCTTGAAGTTAAGGTATTCTCGCGATGATCTTTCGTCATATCAAGGCCACTCTACATGTTTAGGAGCATAATACAAACCAAGCTTTTCTTTCTCTGACCACCGAGGAGGCCAACACTCGGTTGTCTCTCGGCAACGTTCTAATAGACCAAGTCAATGACAACTAGCACCAAGAGGCAAACCTCCTCTGCTCTGGCACTTTTAGCGATAGCAGGCCATTTACTGATTGACAAATATAAGAAGGGGCAATGGGAACGGGAAGTATAGAGCGCCAGCGTCTATGGACAGTTCCACAATCGAGTTGCTTTCAGCTCCAGTGTTTCCAGATTTTTTTCTGAAGATTCGCAGTCGTGAAACTATCTACTAATTCGTTTCTCGGGACATTTTTATTAAAAGGAGAAAGGGGGCCAGGAACAGAGACCTTTTGAAGAAAGACAACAGAAAAAGAAAGTCAGAGCGAACGAGGCGGCACGGAAGGAGTGCGGGTTTAAAAACCAGACTCTAAACAAATTCCGCAAGTAGCCTTTCTTACTGGACGCGGAGGAAGACACACCAGAGCGAGCAATGAAGGGTCCCGGCAAAACACGAAGCTTAGAATTCGATTGAATCTGAAAAATGCCATATGCGCGCAGGGACAATGAGCAAGTCAAAGGTATTGCTTATCATCCATGGGGCACATCGCAATTTTAGGACATAATTTGTTTTATCAGCCGATTTTCATGAAGTTCTGTAACCTATGGCTTTAGCATCGAGCTGCAACAAAAAAGCGACACCGAAAAGGGCTATGCCCACAGGGAACCATACAAAGCCACCTCAGTGCCCCGGCAGGATTTTAGCTTCAGGTTGTGAGCCGAGTGCTTCGCCGATTCAGCTATCTGGTGTCGGGGATCCGGGCATATATAAGATAAGTAGTTCGCGCGAGCACGCAATCTTGCGTTTTGCGGCCTTTCCTGTCACGCTGCGCTATCTCACGGCGTGTTTCAGAAATAAAAGCGCATTGTTCTTTGGCGCTGCCGATCAGAGGTCATTCCATTCTCATTTGAAAGGCCTACCCACATTCTATGCTTACCAGTAGCTTTGAGCATGATCACGCTTTCTTCCAAGTTTAATCGTATTCAAAGCTTCGTCATTCGCTCAGGTTCGTTTATTACTCGCAGTGATTGGCTGTATACGTGTTCTGCAGGAAAGTCAGCTCAATTTATTTTTTATAGAGAACAATGCTAAATGACATTTGTTGGTGTTACTTGCGAGATGGTCAGGTTAATTTATGGAATCGACCGTATTTTCCGTAAACCTTTGTTTTTTTTTTTGTTTTTTTTCACAAAATACCAAAAATATTTCTTAGCGCATTATCATCGCCTGAATGTAAATTAAATTTGAGGACTAATTTTAGATATAGCCGAAAAATAACAGTCCTTTCTTACTTTTCGTTTTCGTCAAAATTACACACCAGTTGGTTTCATTAAAAAAAAGCGATCACATGAGCGGAGGCTAGTAATTTGCCTGTAGGTTACTGGGCAATAAACTATGGAGTATATCCCGCATCAATATACAATGGCATGCGACGTTTGGAAACATTCAGATGCTATTCCAAAAAGTTTAAACGCTGCTTGCATCTCATAAAGATGTAAACATGATTCGGGTTCATTTACTTCATCGTGGTTCTTGCATCTTAACCACTTTTTATTTTTTCTTATTGTGGAAGAGATCGGACTGAGACATCAGTTACTTTGTGAAAATTCACACTATTGGACTCACCTTTTGTTCTTACTTGTCGTAAGGACATTTTTTTAACAATAAAAATATATGGAATTCGCAAAAAAAAAAAAACTTAGATTGCCATAGTCCATCAGTGTTCTTAAAACAGTTTTGTGACACGTATTCGTCGTAAAGAAGAACTCCGCCGATTTTTTGGTGGACTTTGATTTTGCTACAAATTTGCAGACCGCATCAATAGGCCCTTTCTCAACTGATAACCAAAATATTTTATAAAAATGAAACTTTTGCGCGAAGTTATTGAATTTTCAAGTAACGCCGGCCGCGAGGGTTCCAGGAGGCGACTCTCTACTGGCAACAATGAAAAGTCCCTACTTTTCCCTCCCCGTGTACGTCACCGGTGGGCAGGCGGACGAGCGACTCGGGCAGCCGCGAAGTAGCTTTCCGGGGGCCAGAGATTTGTTTTTTTTTCTTCGCAGTTTCAAGGTTGAAAGTTCCTTTGCAATGGGTAGCAATCTGTGGTCCGCGATAGGGTGTAGAAATAGTGCCGGGAAAAAGCTTTTTTTTTTTTTAGCCTTGTTTTCGTTGAAGAACAAAAAAAAATGCGTTCCCCGCAGCAATGGAGGCCAGCCACATCAAGGTGCTTTTGGGCGGGCAGTGTGCCGAGACAACTAGTGTCACGTGAAACATTTTCACTTATGCTCGGAATACTTTATAGCCGCGTGCTGCGAGTTGAGTATCCCACAGCAACGGGAACAGCTTCAAGAGCGGCAAGCGCAAACTCAAGCCGGTTGTGACCGCTACGACATCCGTCCAAAGAGCGCTAATAATATCGAGAAAAATAGTACACAATGTAGCATTATAGTCAACACTTTGCGCAGTCATTTTTGTTATTCGTAATGCGGAGGGCAAGTTCGTCTGCTTCTTGCGCAGGGGGTAGCGGTGACGTCAGAACGCCGAGCCCTGATTGGCTGATCGCGACCCCCTACCTGAGCTGCTCCTTTGCAACGTCGTCTGCTCGCAACGTCGTCTGCGTCTGTCTTACCTTTCCTGCGACTTTCGAAAGTGCAGAGGCCAGAGGCCAGGTTCACAAAACGATCTTACGCCAAAAATATGCGTAAGACAAAACTTGAGAACAAATTCGTATTCACGAAACAAAATTTTCGTAAGTTTTGCGCAGGTTACGACGAAACCCTACGACAGCTCCGAAGCTGTCTTACGCACTTCTTACGATCAAATCAGCATGACCGACAGTGTCGCGGTCGCGACGACCAACGAACGTTTATTTTTCTACGCGCGCTTCTCACGCGTTCCGACTTCAAGCAGCAACAAAAAAGCAAAAAGTACTTGAAACAAACCACGACGAACAAGAACGCTGGACCCACAAACACCCGGGAAAAGCTCCAACGGCAACGACCAAGTGAGCTCGGCAGATAGGCCTAGCAGGCACTCCGACTCGGTGACCGTCTGCCCACGACCGGCTGGCGTGCTGAATGAAATATGCTCGCGCGACCCTTGTGAACCCTTCCCATCTTATACTTTGATCGCTGACCTCAATTTTAGATTAAGAGGTCAATCTCTTCCTCTTGTCATCTCCTTGTTTTCCGAGGCAACGGTGACTCTTGCCGGTAAAAAAGCGGTGAAGCTCCGACAGACGCAGGAAGGGTAAAGCAGCCGTCGCTTTGACTAGCAGACGTAAAGCAGACGACGTTAACTGCGCCAACCCGCCGACGCCGTTAAACAGTGAGGAGTCTCGCCGCACACGAAAGGCGAGAAAAAGCATTTGGGAGGGAACTTGCGGACACTAACACGCTCACTCTCGGTTCTTAGCAAACAAACCTCGGTGCCTCGGGACACCTCGCCAGTGAGTCCTTTAACTTCCCCCCTTAATGCGCGTCTGCTAGTTGTTAGACAAAAACAACGTACCGCTCGAGTTATTTCGTCTGCCCTCTCTAAAAGGCGAAGTCGAGCTCGCTCGACTTCCGAAAGTCGCAAGAAAGGTAAGACAGATGCAGACGATGCTGCGAGCAGACGACGTTGCGAAGTAGCAGACGACGCTCAGATAGGGAGTCGTGATCAGCCAATGAGGGCTCGGCGTTCTGACGTCACTGCTACTTCCTTTCTCATGCGCAGAAGACGAAAATGAGCCCACTTGCGAGGGGTATTGGTTCAGTGATTTTTATTTTTAATTTTTTTTTATAAACACTATCTGTTTCGGACGTTGAGTCTATACTTCGTTTCAGTTTCGGTCTGAGCGCGGCCGATGTTATGCGCCGAAGGGCCAATCAAACAGCGCAAAAAGCGCAACGTCATGGCGTGCTCTCTGCGCTTGACTAGCTGGCGGAGGAGCAGTGCACAGAGAGACGGCGAATACCAGCTGGTCCTATCAACTGCAGAAAGCACGCCATGACGTTGTGCCTCTTTGGCTGTTTGATTGGCCCTTCGGCTCATGACATCGGCCGCGCTCGGACCGAAGCTGAAACGAAGTCTAGCTTGTGCTACTCTCGGAGTTGCACTCGCGCAGCCGATATGTTAAAGACGAGAATTGAAACGTCTAAACAGGGTTCAAATCTGAATTTTGACATTGTCGACAAATTGCTATTCCTTTCTGCTATTACAGACGTTTATGAAGCAGATGTTGAGCTCGATAAATATATTATAGATCCTTTGCCTGGTTTGTAAAATGGTTGGCGTGCAATGTTCTCTCCAGAAGAAGTGATGATAACGCCTTTAATTTATTGAACTGCGGAGAAATTTAATATAGGGCTGAACATATTGATGTGGTTGAAGGGAGGAATGCATTTTACGGCTGATGAAAACTGTGCTATGCCAAAACTTAATTAAAAAGAAATCTGACATAAAATTACCCCCTTCCCATATGCCCTCGTGGATGGGTGTTTGAACGCGTTGCGTTATATTTCAAGAATAAAAAGGTAAAAAAAAATGCGGGTACATATTTTTCTTTGCTAACTTTTGTTAACTGAATGATTTTGAATTAAAAGTATATTGACGTCTTTCTGTACCTTACGCACTATTGTATCTTCAAGCAAATATTCTTTATTGGAAGATGAAGGGTGTATTTCTGTATTTTACACGCATTCAATTGCAGCTTGACGTTTGGCTTGATGGTTCCGGAGTTCTTTAATTGTCATTGTAACACGATCTTCATTACCCGTCACGTTCCCTCTGGTCCACACAAATTCAGTTAACTTCGTCCTATACAGTTCATTGTTTATGAGAATCACAGTCTACATGTGTTAGTTCCCAGCCCAGCGTGTACATGTTCGTCGCGGAGTCCCCCTTGAAGGAAAGCATTTTTTTTTATTTACGCCCACTCGTTGTTTTTACGAAGGCCTGGACCATTCGGGTTTACATTCACTCAATCGCTGAAGACGTCCGCTGCTGTGTTCAAGTCCCGAAAACGGCAAAGGGAAGGATACGAGGAATTCCTGGGAAGGGGTGGGGGACAGGCAACGTGCACGCCGGGCACACCATCGCAGGTGTCATGCGACCTCAAGTTTGAGGAGCACCGACGTCAAGGAAAGAAGGCAGTGGAGGCGAGGAGGAAAACCGTGCTGTTTTCCTGGTGGATGTCCGAACAGGCGACAGACATTCGGACTTCAAATTTCACTTCCAATGGGGAAAAGTGTCGCTTCACGCATTTTGAGAGTATCAATGTTTGGCCACACCTTTACAATCGTTATAAGTTTTAGCATTAATCGAATCACTGAAAGTATAAATCTGCCAATATAAACATGAGCGAATCATGTTGAGAAGTATTGAATAGTACAAATATTTGTTTCCGGCGCTTATGTTTGGTCGTGCCTGGCCAGGCTTACGAGGTGACCCCCTATTAAGAAGAACCTTATACCAATTGCTTTAACTTAAAGAAAAATATTCAGCCGTCGCCGTTTGTTTTAAATAGTGCCTCAATGTGAGCTAGATACCTTACCGGTTCACACCGGAAAAAGTTGTAAAGTAAAAAAAATATAAATAACAAGTTGCAGATATTTGATTATATTTTTGTGTTAGTCCTTTGCACGATCGAACACAACACACTGTTCGCTGAGGTGCCAAAACGTAGCAGCATCTGTTCACAAAACCAAAGTGTTCGTGAAGAAGGTGCACTGCGGAGAACTGCTCGGATCGGTAAGACGCACGTACGTTTAGTTATATCACTGAGCGAACTTATTTAGTTGAACGTGTCTACTGCGTCCAATGAACGATACTTACGCTTCGCTTTCCTCAGGAACTCTCATTTAAATGATGTCAGAGTGCGTGATAATTTCTTGTTTTGTTTTTTCTTGTGTATTTGTTTGCATTGCACGCAACCAACAGCGGCTAACCCACTCCTATTCGACCTCGAGGAAAAGATTCAGGCGTTTGTGGACGCACTTTCGGTGAAGCACGGCGTCAAGGTGTCCTGGTGGGACGTATACGGGAACAACTCGGAACTCAAGTGGTTCAACGTTAGAACGTATCCGTAAGTTGACAACACGCCTATCTTGCATTTGTTTGTTCAATTTATTGATTGAGCATTACGTCTGTCTCTACGTACTTAAAGATAATTAATCAGGCATTTCGACACCCCGACGCTTCGATTTACTTTTACTATAGGCGATACTTTTCATCGTAATCCAGCTCAGCGGACAAAATGAAAACGCTCGCGCTGCAGAACTCAGATATCAAAAACGGTGCAGAGCACCCGTTTTAATCTGGACGAAGATCGTACCGGAGTGCGATTGTATATGCTACTGCCATAGCCTCCTCTATACTCACCAAACCTGGCAGGTCGACGACGGAGCCATATATATGCATAGAGTGTGCGGTCGCAAATTCTGAGAGCGAGGGTCTTGGAGGAACGAGCATCAAAGAGCCATTTCTCGGGGAGCCTGGACGTCAGCGCACAGCTTTTGCACCGGCGAGGACCCGAAACACACTTGTACGCTCGGGACACGTGTGTTTCGGCGTCTCGCCGCAGCGAGGCGCCAGCCATGTGGCTCTCCTCTCATCCGTTGTCTGCCGCTCCACCTTTCCTTTTCGGCGGCCGCTTCTCGTGGCGATCTGGCAGGCTTTGTCAGTATATAAGAGGCTATGCTACTGCCTAATGCACGTCCATTGCTAGTGCAGTAATGCTGCCAGTCGTAGTTCACTGTCTAAATCTATCTGATGCAACGGTGACACCAGACGCACATTGAGGCTGACTAACTTGCCGCTGTGTAACAGCAAATGTACGTTTACATCAATATATCTTTTATGGGCTCTTCCCCCACTCAACATGCCGATGTAGGAAGAAGTAGGGCGTCCGTTGCGTGATATCACGGCCTCAGGTCACAACACGTCGCCTGACGTCGGAGTCACGGGTCGTCACGAGGCGCCACGGTGTCACTTCACGCTACGATGTCCCAGGAGGCCACGGTGTCACGTCAGGCTCCCACGCGAGACCGTGATGTCACGTGACGCCATGAGATCCCGTGACATTATGATGCCATGCGACATCACGCGCACCCACACCACAACACGCGCACAATCCGTTAGCAACGGAAAACAACAACAGTAAGAAAGAGACTGGATTTGGAGTCCGCTGTGTTTCTCATTAAATACAATTAGGCAGATGACGGTTTGAGCAATCGCAAAAAAGCAGCAATTTCGGGAGAATGACATCGCCAGTGTCACTCTCCGAGCGGACATTCTTGACGGCTTTTCCTCGCAAGGTGCCCTCAGCGGCAGAAAAAGCGAAGCGCGAAGCCTGACTTGCCGCTGCAGCGATAGCGTCGGGCTTATACATCAGTGAAAGGATACATACTTAGAAGTCGGATAAGGTGTCGGTGGATTCACACAGGTCTCACCTGTTTTTTTTTTTTTTTTTGTATCAGATTTGCTGAATTGACGCGGCACCGCACAGACGCTCCTCAGAAATTTTCTAGTCCAATGTCGACTGAAAATTAACTACAGTGCCCATGCTATAAGTTCGCCTAATTGTACTGCAGCGGACAGGAATAAAAAGAAAGAAGCTCGGTAATATTTTCAACAATGTTGCGAATGAACGCACATAATCAGATCAGAAAGTCACCATTAGTCGGCGAGAATAGTTGTTGGGACGTTGTAGTCATCTTAAGAACCTTCGGACCGTATTTGAATAGGCCGATCTCATTAAGCGTTCGCTGTATTCGTGACGGTTTAGTTCACAGGAGGTTGACAGAAGTGCAAGGGAGGCTTCCTGTTGTCTCATGCTCTACACGTGCAGAGCTCCGGAGAAGTTGCGGCGCGTCTAAGAAAAACTAAAGTTCCCCGATTCATTGCGGTAGTGGTGGCGTAGCAGTGTTGTACACGTTCCTAAAAAAAAGGAACGGAAGCTCGTTCCTCGTTCCTTCTGATTTTTGGAACGCGTTCCCGTTACAAGTTCCATTTGTGAAAAAGGAACTCGTTCCCGTTACAGTTTAAAAAATGGAACGTATCGTTACATATACGTTACATTTGTATTTTTTGCTAATTACCATATTTAGTTAAATCAAGCAGAGTTTTTATTTTATCTATTCATTAAGAACAAACATACGAGTTTGTCTGTCGTGATGGAAGGGCACCAGGAGTAGAAAACACGCGGAAGTAGGATTTCAATTCTTGATATATCCATGTTAAAAATCTCAGCTATTAACCATGTCCATGTTTGTAGTGAACAATTCAGGCGAGCCAAATGTACTTTTACCCAAGATTGTACAAGCGTTTTACAACAACCTCACACGGTTCAATTTAACAGAGTCCCGAGTTAGAACTTAATAACAGTTGCTTCCCGATGTTGCTGTCCGCAAGACGAGCAAGTGAAGGCGAGGGTAGGGCTTTTGGAAAGTCAGTCTTCAAAGCTACAAATACTTCGTTGTGAATGTTGGATTTGTTTTTGAAGGTAGGGGACAAGAGAAGGAATAAAGGTTATTTTTTTGTGTATCTTTTAAGTGAATAATGTTCGGGATACAAGGGTGAGTCCGAAATCTGGTAATCTGTGATCTTGCTGTAATTGTAGGTCTCGTTATTGAAGTTCAAAAATGGCTGTAGTCGGAATAAGATTTCTAGGTGTATGAGGATTCGTGGAACCAAAAAAAGTAGCTGAGTTTGAAACAACCCTCTTTCTTTCTCTTTTCCTACGACTAAAAGTTTTGCTTTTTGTACCGCAGTTTCGGGCACTCAGAAAAGTATCAATGCCCACCAGTTCTCCTGCACCCGACACTGTTAGCAAGCGAGGACCACACAAAATAATCCAGAATATTAGTAGCCAAAAAGTTAAAGAGATCCTGCACATCGTAAAGATATTGTGTTCGTACTTTCAGACTTTCCCTGTGAGAAATAAAATAAAAAATTACCCCACTGGACGAAAAAAGGAACGTTGTTACTTCTTCCGTTCCAGTATAAATGTAACGCGTTCCCGTTCCAGTTCCAGCGATGCATAATGGAACGGCGGCGTTCCTTCGTTCCTCCTAAAAGGAACGCGTTCCAGGAACGCCGTTCCTTAAGGAACGCCGTTCCGTACAACACTGTGGCGTAGTCAAACTGGCGGGTGAGATCGGCCTATTAAAAACTTACAAATCTTCAAAACCATTCCCCGTAGCATTTTTGAGTCTTTCTTTGGACCCGCGTGCCCTTTGCTGCAAGGCTACAATCTCGACCTCCCGAATACTCTCTTTAGCGAGAAAATGTAACTATACAAGACTCTTTGACCAGCTGTTTGCCCACAGTACATGGTGTTTAGTATATCCAACGAAAGGCCTGTAGACCAGACTCTTGACGTCATCTTCACGATCAAACTCACAATACAAATTGACAAAGGATGCTCTGTGAGCTTTCTGCTGCCACTCGTGTACTTTGGTTCACCTTAAGTTCAGATGCAGCCGCCGCTGATGCTGATGGAACTCTTCAGCGTCAAAAGTGCACCAGCATGGTGCTCGTCATGTTTCTACACGGGATATATAATGGCCGAACTAATCACAAACAAAGCACACCTAGTGAATTTCGCTTCTGACGCTGCTTGATTGGTCCCATTAGCCCGTAGCGCGGGCTGGGCCTGCACTTAAGCTGAAGCGAAGTTTTCTAAAAAAGTGCTTCACTCACTCAACATGATCCTCAGTTGAACGCTGTCGCAACTTCAGCGGGGTGATGCGTAGACAAGTCGAACAAGCAGTTTATGTTGTTGATGTCCCCATGGCTTTGGTTCTGAACTTGGCCTCTAGGAACGCGACGGTTAGAGATTTTCTTCCTTGAATACGGTCTATCTTAAAAGAAGGAGGTTGCCAGACTCCCCTTTGTTATGAACTTGCCAGACATATTATGCTTTTGTATTGAAATAAATAGCGCGGAGATTTATATGAATATTTAGAGGCTTTTTTTTTACTGACCTTACTTTAATGAAGTCTACCCTCGACCACCTGCAAAGTTCTTGACACATTGGTCGGTGCCATGTTGCAGGAACAAGATACTCGTCCGAGCCAGTGCCATCAAGTATGGCGAGGTGAAGATAAATTCCCTCCAACCAAAGGTGATCTACACAAACTGGGCCCACAACGAACAGCCCAACACCTCAACGACAACCACGGTGAAGAGATCCACGATGCACAACACGACCCACATGCAGAGCACTGAGAGGGCGTTCAGTTGCGGCTTTAAGTTGTCCGTCGACGCCAAACTCCCCGCATCTGCGGGCATCACCGCCAACGTATTCACAAATTTCAACCTGAGAAACCTCAACAGCGAATCTCACACCGAGACCGAGAAGTACTCCGTCAAGCAGGTTGTCACTGTGCCTCCGATGAGGTCCGTGAAGATCGAGTGGCTGATCACCGATGTTTCCAGGGTGAGTGAACGAAGTTTGAGACTTGTCGCGTAGTTTTTGGTCTCGCGTGCCTAGTGTCAATATGTCTTTTCAATATGTCACTGACATATTGAAAAGACCCGGGCGTCTTTTTGAGATGCCCGGCCTTCAGCAAGCTCACGTCGTCTTTCGCCGTGATTGGGCTCTGCATCCACGATCGAGTCCTTACAAAAATATTTACCCACTTTCTACAGAATTTCTATAACAAATAGTGTGTACAAGTTATAGATATAAAGAAAGTGGATCCATTCTCCTATCCACTGTCTGTAGCGTTCTGGCGCTTGTATGGAAATTAGTGTATGTGCGAAGATTGAATATATAAATTGTATAGAACGTAAATAGAGATTCCAATGGCAACTAACGAAAAACGGAAACAGGTCAGTTTTGTTACGACAAAAACCATAAACAAACACTGAACAATCATTCGAGTTTTGTCATGATACATATATAGAAATATGCACTCGCCACTTGCCGCGTGAAAGTACCCAGAGATCACAAATAGGCACGCCACGAAGCACTAATAACACTGGTAATTCGGTGGCTTTGACTGCTCCGCGTTTGTATGTACTCAGCTTTAAAAGTAATCATTTGACCGACGACCATCCCGGAATTTAAAGAAAAAAAAACGATTACATGTAGATTGCTCTTTTTTTTTTTTTTGCCAATAATTTATACGAAAAGTAATTTTAAGTGTTGTTGAACTGGACGTACAAATGTAAAGCATTGCGAGAGGTGATAATTATTTGACACAGTCGAAACAAAAACAGCCTCCGCAAGGAGGCTCGAACAGGGTGCGACCTGTCTTCACCGTACTGTATTTTATTATTCTGTCGAGTTTAGTCTATAATAATTCTATAAAAGTATGACGAAAAGTGTACTTAGTCGTGGCGATAGAAATTCGACACAATTTTTTTTATCTTCTGTACTCGATAGATTTGGGTTGAAAGTAAGCCTATAGAAAGTGTTTAGAAATTTGTCGGTACGACGCGACTGGATAGGAAGTTGAAAGAGTTGTTAAAATGTGAATAGGATGTATATAGGCTGCCAGAAATATTTTTTTTTTGTAAGGGATGACCTGCATGTTGTCCCCACCCTTTCGGCGACAATCGTCCCCACCCTTTCGGCGACAATCGTCAGTCGATGCCAGTGGCAGATTAAGAATAACAACTAATCGGTCAGTCAAAGTTTAATAAAAGTGCCAGGGAGGTACCAGAACTCCGACGCGCATTGTGGAAGAATTTTGCACGCTACTAATTCAAACGAATGACAGCATGGAGGGGCATTTTGCAAAAACAGCTTACATTTATTTAACAAAATGATCATATTTCTGGAATTTTATGTTGCTCTCAGTGTGTGGTTTGCTGAGTCGATTTTTCAGTTGTGTTTGGCACAAAGCGCGACACACGCGTAAACAAAGGAAGATCTTTTCTTTAACGTGAGAGATTGCATTGAGAACGTGTAAGGTATAGTAATGATCTTACATTGTGCGAGAGCCTGGGAAGCAAACTTTGGTGTCGAACACTGGCTTATAAAAATATATAGAATCATTCGCTGACGTCCTGTTAAGCTGACTGTATCACGAGGCAACTGTATCAACAGCTGTTGCGTGCCATCTCTATTGGCTAGTTCGTAGGCTCTAAAACTTTAAGAAAACATTAATAATACTAGTATTATTATTACCCTGCCGCATCCTATATTCATATGCTCGTCGATCAGCGACGGTTCAGGAATATGCAAATCAGCACAACCCATATAGAATAAAGGGGACAGTAATTAGAGTGAATGCCAAGTCGAGAATAAGGCTGAGCTTACCCCCCCCCCCCCCGCCCCCGCCCCCCTTTTCCCCCAAAAGAAAAGTAAAAAAGAATATTTCTGATAGTTCTTTGCATTTCCAGAAAATCGGCGTATGAAGGCTCACCCATTATATCCATAGTTTTCTCTGACATTTAGCCGGCGAAAGCATGCATGACCCCGTGTCTTAGGTATATATTTAACTTACATAAGAAATTTCGTATGATTAGTGTTTAGCAAAGTTTAAAAAATGTTTCTAATCCTACTATGGTCACTCCTAAAAGCAGGTTCGAAACTCAAATGTTCATTGTTTTGCCCAGTCGGCTGGTATCAATTTAACGAAATGTGAAAAGGAAGCCGTGTAACCGACTTTACGGTCAAGCCACCCCACATGGTAGTCGATATTGATAGTCAATCCTTCGCTGCGACTGGTCAGATGTCCTTCGTCGTTTTGGCCACAAAACTTCGACTTTCACCCGTATTCACCAGGCGCGAGTAGGGCCTGTTTAACCACCAACTAACGACCTCGTCGACTAAAATGATCACGTGGCGTGCGATAGTCGCCGCTAAGTGAGCGCTTGGTATTCACCGGTCATGTTTAGGTCCTAGTCGCCCAGCGAGACTAAGAAGTCGACTAACAAATTTTAGTCTTGGAACAGGGCTAGTTTAGCCGGTGTTGCGCGGGTGACTAGCCGCTCAGCGCCATGGCCGCCTCGTATCACCGCTGACCGCCAGCGCTAACGAAGCACTTACTGTTTCTGAACGCTGGGGGACACATGTACAAAGAATTGGAGGAGCCAATATTGTGTAACTAGCCATGTTCAACTGCCAGAGATACCACTAAAGCGATCTCAGCAGGGCGCTGGACGGCGAGAAAAAACGCATTTACGGGAGCTTCCATGCTTGTTTATGTCGCTGGCAATGCGCCTTCCGTATTTCATTCTTGCGTTTCTTTTAACTTTTCTTTGTAAAACTCTGTCTCGGGCAATTAGGCTCTCATTGTAACTTTTTTCTTCCTGATGAACATTTATATATTGGCTTTTATACGATAAAATACCCATTTGCGCAGCGACGTTCAAGTACGCGTGCGCGTGACATCTGTTTTTATGTCATTTCCGCTTGTGAGTTCTGACTAGATAGTCACCCGCTCGCTTCGCGCTCTTGAATACCACAGAACTAGTCAATCCTTAGTCGCTGATTTTTTCTCTTAGTTCGCGACTAATTAGTCGCGATACTAACTTTAAAACAACGCTAGTTAGTCACGACTGATGAGAACGAATGTTTGAGTTTTGACATACTAGCGTGATTACGATGATCGGAAACACATTTTAAATACTTGTTTTTTGGCTTTAATTAGGATCATTCAGAAATTTTTATTTGCAAAATTAATTCGCTTCTAACTTTTTCCGTGACAAAGTAACTGACAGCTTGAGAAAAGCGGGACGTGGTGAGTCCCGAGTTGTCTGAAGACTGCTTCGTATTGAGTAAAACTGCGGCACTCGCCGATGAGAATGCCCAGAGACGAATCACCGTGGAAGAATCAAAACTGACCCTGCGTTCCTAAAGCTGTTTATGTCTATAATATACAATGTCTTCTCCTTCCAGGAAATCCCCTGGACGGCCGACATCAAAGTGACCGGATCTTTCGGGGTTCGATTCGAGAGGCGAGTCAATGGCGAGTTCCTGTGGTACTACCCCGTGACCAGACTGCGGGATCCGCTCTTTAAGCGCGTAGGACCGAAGGTGATGCAATTCACCGCCAACGGAACCTTCGCCAGCGTCTACGGCGTCGACGCTCACCTCAGAGTGTCCGAATACGAGCTGATGGACAAGAACGGCGAACCCTTGGTAATCACCAACCGAACACTACCTCTGAATGCACGCCAAGGAAACGCCGCTGCACCCCAATAAATTGTTTTATTTTTGAGATGTCGACGATGGTTATCTTTTGAGTCATGGACAAGTTAATAAACGCATGGCGTGGTTTTTACAGCGAAATCGGGCTCCTCCTTCCCCTCATTATGATGACGTAGGCGTTTATCATCGAAGGCCTCAAGTGACACCGTGACGTCATAAAGTCAAGTGACGTCGTTACCTTTATGACGTCGCGGTGTAACGTAACATTAGTGTGTCACGTGCCATCCCACTGTCACGTGATGTCACGTTGTTACGTGACTAAACGGTGTCACGCTGTCATACGACTTCAGGCTGTCAAGTGTCCTCGTAGTGTTTCTTGGCGTCATGTTGTCCAGTGTTGTTATGATGTCCGATAACGTCAAGGTTGCTGCGATGGGATGTGACGTCATCATGTCGCGCGGTGTCATGATGTCAACAGCACGGCGACGCTTGGCGAGTATCGTACCAGTGCTGTCCATAAATTGGTAAAAATTCCGGCTCAATGTCCAGGTTTGCACTGCAGCCTGATATCCGGCAGGTATTGGCGAACCGTCGCTTCGGCCCCGGCCCGGCCTAGTATCGGCCCGATATCATGCGAGTACTTTACGTAACTTCGGATCGGACTGCCGCTCACGTATCGACCGGACGTTGCATATACAACTTATATGCATCTGCGGTTACATATTAATCGTTGCATATCAATCGCAAGAACGGACAAACGAATTTGTTTTCCATCGCAACGAACCGTTTATTAGACTACAATCATTAAGCACAGTCATTTCTCGATAGATTTACGGAAGTAATACTGTTCTGTGGAACGGAAAGCATATTATTGATTACAATTACACCAATCTCAAGCAAAGCAAAGCTCATGAATGAAACACCAAGTACCGCGGAGATTGCGAGGTAAGCAGGTATACCTTCAACAAGCATGTTTGCAAAGTAGTTAACAAGAAACCGGCGATGTTCTGTAATCCGTGATAGATTCAGTAGCCGACTCAGACAGTAAAAAAAAACGAAAACAAATGGTAAAAAAATTAAAAAGGTCGTTCACTCTCAACAGGAATCTCACTGGCGACTATGAGCAGCTCTTTGTTGAAGCACGTTCATATATAAAAGAAAACTGTCATTACCCGAAAGCGTTCAAAGTTACTTGGATCGAGGTGGCTTGGTGCAGTAAACTTGCACTTGAGATTACGGAGCTGTAAAGCACGAAATATTTTATATCGAGCGCCGATTTTGAAGAGCCGCAATTTAGAATGGCGAACTTCAAAGAAATTGGAATGAACGGAACTTCCTTTATGACGAAAAAGGCACGGTCGCGACTGCAACGCACGAAAGCAGGAGAACATTAAACAACGCATGCCGAAGACCGCGCTTATGTCTCTCTCTGCTTTTTACCGAAACTTGGCAAATGGCGAAGACTACAGTCACAGCCCCAATGCGACGAAGGGAGTCACGTGACCAATATTCACCCAAGCTGTATGTAGTGTGAATAGCTGCCACGTGTGTCGCTTTGTCCCTCTGATTTCCTCACAACGAGCGTCACGCTCACTCACTTCCACACGAAGATACAAATGATGGGGCGCAGTAAAAAAAGGGGCAAGGCCGGAGAGGGATGAACAAAACAGCTGAACGTCCTCTGGTTGCTTTGTCTGCCCTTCTCGGACTAAAAGTAAGCGCATGTTGGTTTTCCTACTCTTTTTTTTTTTCTTCATTTATTCAACTTTGGTTTTGAGTCTGACGGGCAATGGGAATACCTCACCCGTATAACCGAGTCTCAAGAGCCACTCAGGTGACTCAACAAAAAAGGCTGAGGATACTGCATGTCAGATGGCGTCGGCGCGACCTATCCATCACATCACAAATGTCGGCTGCATCAAAATGGTATCGGCACAAGCTCTCCGAAATGATGCCAACATCAGCGTAATACTATGCTGCCTGGCTAGGATCGGCATCATTCATCATCACCGTGACATCTACCTATGGTTGGTGAGGAGCTATGAAGCCAGCGACGAATGTTCCTCAAAGGGACTCTTATCCCTTCGCCAGCCAATCGTCTCTTATATTCTTCGCGTCACTGAAGTCAATGCTTGAAAAACTGTATATATATATATACATATATATATATATATATGTGTGTGTGTGTGTGTTTAATTTGGCAGCTAGTGCGGTTACGGATGACGAGGGGACTCGGGAGCATAGCAGGTTTCTCGTAATTAATTTACAGCTCTTTGCCTTGATAAGTTTACGTCGAGAAGTTCCACCGGTATTCGCTTTTCATCGTTCTAGTTTTTTTGTGCGACCACGTGAGGATCCAAGGTCGTATCGACAACGAAGCGTGCAATGTGTTCGTCAACAACGATGCCTTCTCTTCATAGGTTTGATGCTGACCCGTTACTCATGAAATTGTACACAGACAAAAAAACATCCTTAAAGGAATTGTCTGGTCTAACCCGGAAGTGCTTAAGTATTTGCGCTCGTTAGGTCTAGGGAGACTTCATACAGACAAACGTCATTTTTATTTTGATATATAATGTCCGGATATTGATTAAACTAGTCCGGAGCGTGTTTACGAAACTGCACACCGAATCACGCCATTGTCAATGGTTGACATCCTGCCACTAGGCGTGACGTAACATCATACCTCGCCAAACCTCACTCATGAGGGCCCTCACTCACCCTCACTCACCCTCATCTTCACAGGTGAGGTGAGGGTGAGTGAGTTTCTGAACCAGGAAAATTCATGAGTGTGAGGGTGAGTGAGGGCCGTGAGGGCTGTGAGGGCGGTGAGGGCCGTGAGGGCTGTGAGGGCGGTGAGGGCCGTGAGGGCCGTGAAGGCGGTGAGGGCCATGAGGGCCGTGAGGGCCGTGAGGGCCATGAGTGCGTGAGGGGCGTGAGGGCCGCAAGGGTGGTGAGGGGCGTGAGGGCGGTGAGTGGCGTGAGGGCGGTGAGTGGCGTGAGGGCGGTGAGGGCCGTGAGGGCGGTGAGGGCGGTGAGTGGCGTGAGGGCTATGAGTCCGTGAGGGCGGTGAGGGCCGTGAGGGCGGTGAGGGCGGTGAGGGTCGTGAGAGCCGTGAGTGCGTGAGGCCCCCTTCAGATCGAGCATCTTTCTCAGCAATTTTGATGTTAATGGCGGGTTGTTCTCTAGCTTTCCCTAGATCGACACGAATTGCTGAGATCGGGTCCGGCTCGAAATAAGCAAGCAACTCGGAGCAATTCGAATACGTTTGAAGCGGCTGCATCCAATCAGGGATGCAAAATTTTCACGTGATACCTCGTGCCGGTGATGATGACACCGAAAGACTTGGTTCTGGTTTGAAATCGATCGTTTTTCCGAAATAAACTGTTTCAGAAAGGTGCATTAGTATTCTTAACGAGGTTTAAATGCATAAAAACACGTTTATAACGCGTAATTGTGTCTAAATAGTGCAAGAAAAATAAAATTTTATGATGACGATGGCAAATTGCAGCAATTGTTTGCTGCGTGTGATCGCGGGTGGCCCGTGTTGCTGGTGTTGCGACGTAAATTTTCTGGGCGAAATCGCCCCATCTGAAGCTGGCCTGAGTGGCGTGAGGGCCGTGAGTGCGTGAGCGGCGTGAGGGGTGTGAGGGCCGCAAGGGCGGTGAGGGGCGTGAGGGCGGTGAGTTGCATGAGGGCGGTGAGTGGCGTGAGGGAGGCGAGTGGCGTGAGGGCGGTGAGTGGCGTGAGGGCGGTGAGTGGCGTGAGGGCCGTGAGGGCGGTGAGGGCCGTGAGGGCGGTGAGAACGGTGAGTGGCGTGAGGGCTATGAGTGCGTGAGGGCCGTGAGAGCGGTGAGGGCCGTGAGGGCGGTGAGGGCGGTGAGGGCCTTGAGGGCGGTGAGTGGCGTGAGGGCCATGAGTGAGTGAGGGGCGTGAGGGCCGTGAGGGCGGTGAGTGCGTGAGGGCCGTGAGGTTCAGTGAGGGTGAGTGAAGGGCTGAAGGTGAGTGTGACTGTGAGGGTGAGGTTGAGTGAGGGGTTGAAGGTGAGTGTGACTGTGAGGGTGAGGGTGAGTGAGGGGCTGAAGGTGAGTGTAGCTGTGAGGGTGAGGGTGAGTGAGGGGCTTAGGTCAGTGTGACTGTGAGGGTGAGGGTGAGTGAGGGCGACCTAAAATGCCGACCTCTGCGTAACATAAGGCATAAGTTCGTCGGCTAGGCAGGCACTTCATGAACGCGGGCGTTGAAATATGTTCTTCGATGAGTGCTTTGTATTTTATTTCTTCTTATACTCTATTTTACGTTGTTCTGAGTTCAATAGAGTTCCTTGTCATAGCAACAAGAAAAAAAAAAGTGACTTTTATTCCAAGATGGCCGTGAGCATGGAGCAACTCTCCGTACGTTCCTCAGATTGACATATCATTTTTTGTAAGGAGTTACCACACCTTTGCGAAAAGGATTGCCGAGGCTGTCTATGTTTCTAATGGTATCTGTAGCCGAGCATTGCCATGAATAGTAAAGATAATCCGCAATTCCAAGCCTTTATATGTCTGGCAGTCTCACCGCTGCGGAAGTGTTCAGGGAACGTTTTGTGACTATGTCGTGGGAAATGTGGTCTCCGAACGTTCGCGTAACCGCCTTGTATTAACCTTTATTTCTGAAACAAATTTTGGGAACCGGTAACCTCCGGGGGAGCGGCATTTGCCCAAAGTACACGTTATTCACGCATCACGTTTGTGACGTCACACCAACCCACTGTAATGTTTACACAGTGATGTCGCTGATCGACTCTGAATTGAGGAGGAAAAGTTCCTTGCTTGCAGACTTGGACGTAGTTCAACTACTCTACTCAAACTACTGTAGTTTAACTACTTTTTTGAGTAACTTGGTAACTTTCAATTACAACTTGATTTGGGTAATTAGTAGTTTAATTTAACTACTTTTTCAGGTAACTTCTACTCCAATTACTAACTAATTTCGAAATTATATAGTGCTAATTTTGTCCATCACGAAAGTTTGAGCGCAGAAATGAATAAGACGCCGGCAGATAAAGTGGCATTCCCGAACAAGGGGGCCCCTTGTTTGGGAAGGCGTCCTTGGGCCAAGGTGGCGACGAGCAGCCAAAACATAACACCGGCACGCACGAA